TTAAAATTGATGGCTGTGTTTGGTAAGCTTTTGGGCTTCCATTTCCATTTTATTTTGGGGAAAGATGTTTTGGGAGAAGAATTTGAAAATTAAATAAAGTTTGTTTGTGTTTTGGGAGGAGACAATTTGTACTGTAGCAAGTCAAATCATGTCTGAAAGGTGTTGGAAAAATGTATTTTGGAAGAAGAATTTAAAAGATAAAGTGATTTGATTTTGTATTTTAGTGAAGACAATTTTTACTGTAGCGGTCAAATCATGTTTGTTAGAGAGAGAAATATTTGAATTTGTTTTGGGGAAAGATTTTGAAAATAGTGTAGAAAAATAATTTTCATTTTGGGGAAAGTGTGGAAAGAATTTGAAAACGGTAACAAACATAGCCGATGTGTTCAAAAAAGATGCAAAATCATTTAAATTGTCTTCTACAATCCTTCAATAAGTAAAATCATCTATTACTGAGCAGAAAAAGTTCACTTTGCATTCCTAAATTAAAGTAACGTCGCATTTACACTCCTCAATTACGAAACGCACTAAAAACACCTTATAATTTGCAATATGTGTGTGTGTGTATTTGCTGACGTGGCAAATTAACTTTCTATTTTGTTTTATAGTTGTTGTGCCAATTGTATCCCTTAATTGTATGTCTATGAGTTATATATGGCTTGTGTTAGTTATTTTATTCTGTTGTAATTGCCTAATAAATTAATAACTATTTTTTATATTTTTCTTACCTAAAAACATACTCTTTTATTATTTATCTTTTTCTATTTTAAATTCATTTTTTTCTGATAAACAATTAGTTATGTTTTTTTTCTTTAGGGAGCATTGCCATAAATTCTTCTCCTCAATAACTATGTATAAACTATATCACTATGACCTGTTTGGTTGGAGAGATTATTCATGATTAACTAAATAGTAAGTTTTAGTTTAATGTTTGGTTAGCCTATTATTTTTCGGGTTGTGAAATCCCTTGCCCCTAAGGTCACCATCCATTGGTCCGACAAATATTTGATGAAAGAATGTAAATGCATAGTGATTCAACGACCCGTTAGGATAGCGGACCCGGTCTTGGTGCCCACAAGGAACCTACGCTCATTGGAGTTGAAATTCACACATTGCAGCTGTCAGGATTCGATCATAGGTCCTTACTCCAACCTACCACCCCTGTACCAGTTGAGATATACCCATGCGGGTCAAGATTGTCCTTCTAATTGTGACATAACTAATTAAACTTTGAGAGGTCCAATAAAAATTATTGTGTAATGATTAGATACGTTAATGACAAAATTGTCCTATAGTTTTCATACATTTATCAGAGTGACATATTCAATTATTTTTTTAAAGCAATTAGTATAAAAAATATTCGAAACAAAAAATCGAATTTTTTTTGTAAAAAAATCGAAAAATAATAAAAAATATGTTTTTCGAAAAAAATATTATTTTTTCGAAAAATAATTTTTTCTAAGAAAAAATCGAAAAAAAATATCATAAAATAATTCGAAATATAACTTTTTTTTGCGAAAAAAAGTAAAAAAAAAATATATATTTTTTCCCAAAAATAAAATAAATATCGGAAAAACTAAAAAAAAAACTGACAAATAATTAAAAAAATCGAAATATAATTTTTTTTTTCGAAAAAATAAAGTAATTTTTTTTTCAAAAAAAAAAATATCCGAAAAACTGAAAAAAATTAAAAAAAATTGAAAAAAAAAATTAACAAAATATAAATATTAAAAAGAAGAAAAAAAAAACTATGTGCAATAAGAAATGGTAATTCGGTAATTTTTAAGTAATTGTATTGATGCTAAGGAAAAGATAAATAATGAAAACATGAAAAATTCAAAATTTGATAACAAATATCTAATGAAAAAATAGACCAATTATAATATTGGAAAAATTATCTTATCTTGGCTAATTTTACATTGGCAATCAAACGAGAACTTATAGAATAATATTATAACGAGGCCTTATTTGTGTGTTCATTTACTCAATTAGAAAAACAAATAAACAATCAACCGTTAGCTATTTTAGTATTTACTCAAAGCACTAACATGCCTATCCGTTGAAGTAAGTGAGCTTTGCCAATTGACTCAAGTTCAAATTCCCTTGCCAACGGTCGCTAGGTGGAGCTTGTCACACATAGTTAGCCTAGTGTCGTTTACCTCTTTCGTATAGCTTGCAAGTTATGATACGAGAGTGTAGATTTATCTAGTGCACTTATATGATTGGTTGCTGATTTTTTTCATATATATATATATATATATATATATATATAAAACTAACCTCAATTTGCTTTTATTTTTTTTAAATGAAATGAATGGTACTCTATTTGATTGTAATCTATATCTATATTATTATATATATAAAACTAGAATACACTTCAAAGTTATCTAATTGAGAAAATTGAGTTCACAATTTTTTATTAATTTAAGGAGTTTTTGTGCATAAGTTCATGGCCAACCATTTTAATACGCTAGGTTTATTAATGTATATAACAAAATTACCCCAAACACTTTACACTAAATTCTTAATTGTAACCAATTTAATCAATTTTGACCACAAAAATCTTATTTTGACTGTTGTTTTAAACTTTTTTTTTTTCAGAAATTATTTTTTTGCCGCTGGTTTCAGACGGTCAACGCAGGTCTCCAGCGTTGACTTTTCTATTTTTTTTTTCTGGTCTATTTTTCCCGCCGTCGGTTTTCGGCGCTGACTTTTTCGATATTTTTTTTCTGGTCTGTTTTTTCTGCCGCCGATTTCAATGATTTGTTTTTACGCTCAGCGCTAAACGTTGACTGTAATTGTACTGTCATTAACAGTAATTATACTATGACTGTATTCATTTCATTATTTTGCTCTTGTTCCGATATTCGAATACTTTCTTTAATTTATTCTCTTTCCTTATATAAAAGATATTCCTATTATTCCTCTACTTTCCTCCTCCTGATTGCCTCTCAATCCATCTAATCTTGGAGATCAGCGAGCTCTTCCTAACGGCTGTAAACCTTTGGGCCTAGCCAGGTCCATAAACTTAATTTATATGGCTTCACCTCTTTAGGCCTTTCTTTGAGTTTTCTGGCCCAAGATCAATTAAATTAATTTCAGATTTATGGTCGATTGAGTGGATTTTCGTCGTTAGCAAATTATCAATTATTTCGAGGTAAACAATTTATTGTATTTTTTAAATATATTTGGAATTGAGGCTGATTTTTTTTTTCTTTCTAATTTGTACTTAATTGTTCTTTTTTGTTGTTTAATTGTTATAATTAGATTCAAGTTTAATTTGTGGTGGATTAGAAGGGTTTTTTATTTCTAGCAAATCATAGTCATTTGGAGGTAAATTATTTGTCGTTATATTGTTCAAATATATTTGGAATTCGGGCTTAAATATAATTTATTTTAAATATGTGCTGAAATTTAAATGTTTTTGTTGTCTGATCGTCACAATTAGGTGGAAGTTTAACTCGTGGTAGATGGAGAAGTGATTGGGAATGCTAGTAGCAAAGCATCAATTATTTTAAAGGTAAATTAAATGTTATATTGCTTAGTTAAATTCGAACTTGAATGATAAATCTCTTAAATTATGTAAATTGTTTGTTATGCAATTGTTAGTTTTTTTTAATTTACGTCATAACATTTTTTGATGAAAGTATAGAATATTGACTTAGGTCATAACATTTTTTTTAAATAGATGTGGCACCAGTTGTTACCGTCATCATCGTGATGTTATTGTTGTATTTATATATGGTGTTGTTTCATTATTTAAACTTTTTAATATTTGGGTAAGTGTGTGAATTGTGAAATCCCATATTTCTGAAAATATATATGAGAATGTCCTATGGGTTTTTCTGCCCTAGTCAATAACTCAAATTATGATTTTAATTTGGAGACTCTTTGGGCAACTTGAAGTACATGTTTTATCATTTTAGTTTCAGTTCAGTACATGCTCAAAAACCACGACCTAACCAGATCGCGTTTCCCTTTTTCTCGCTCAAATCTCGTTATCTTCCATCTCTCTATACCCACTGCTACTCCGCCGCCCTTTGCCTTGCGCCGCATTCCGTATGTCTTTATATTTTTCAAAAATTATTATATTACATTTGTTAATAATTTAATTTAACATTATTAAATAATTAATGATATGAGAACTAATAATTTATTTGACATTATTTATATAACAATTATAATCAGTTAACACTGTCATTTTATATGATATATCATTATTCGTAGCTATTATTAAGCATTTGCTATGTCTGTTGGTTAGTACTCTTATACGCATGCAAGAGACCCAAGTTCGACCATTAAGCAAAATTTCAGCATTTAAATTCGGGTTTACCCAACAGGTCCTCAGATTGCTGGGTGCACCCGTTGGGTAGACCCATCGGATTTCGGGGCTGGATATGGGGGACCTAAAATAGTCCGTGGTGGATTCGATTGCATTACATGAAATATTTGTGCAATATTCGCTATTTTGTTCATTGACAAAGTTAGTTATTTTGCATACATTTATGTGGTCGATTCGCTTGCATTACATGAAATATTTGTGCAATTTGCTGTAAATAATGTCATGTGGTTTCAGGTTTTTGCGTATTCTCTTATATAATATTTAATTGTATTTCATATATCACAATTTTGAATTAAAAAGTAAATTTTACATTTTTTATTTATTTCATTTGATTGATTTGTTAATAGTGAGATAGTTGAGACTGATCCCGGTGCATCGGAGGGGTGAAATACTATTTCAATATCAAATTCTCTTGTGTGTATCGTTGCCATACGTTACAAACAAATAATAATAAAAAATAAATATAAATCCCTAAAGTTTGTGAGCCCTACAGGATAGCTACATGAACACATTAATGACATTCACATTAGATTGGGCAGAGGAATTTACTACCCCATAATAATTAATTTATATGTAACAAAATAAAAATAAAAAAATAAAAGAAGAAAATTAAATTCATCAATTAACTGCAGCATGTATAAATAAATTGCATTAAATGAAGAGATCGAACTCGCACAATTGAATTGAATTACAGTCACGTAAAAGAAGCAAGCAATAGTTATACTCAGTAAATTCTTTCATTATCAAAATTCCTTCACAAAGTGTGAGCTCAAAAGCAACGCATGTGACTTAGCCATTTCTTTTCATGTGAACTCTTTCACATCTCATACCATATTGCCTGTGATTTGCTTCAATTCTCTCTTTTTTCTTCTACCCCTTTATATATACTTTACTATCTCTCTCCCCATATATATTTCCTCCAACGAGGTTTTCTCGACTACTTAAAGATTCATTCTCGTACAAAAAGAAAGAAAGAAAGAAAGAAATCTAAGAAGAGAGATGATGAAGGGTCTTGCTTGCAGATCAAGATTTGTGGTCGTCGTTTTTCTGATCTTACTTCCGATGCTCATGCATGCAAGGAACCTCGGCAGTTTACATCCACGTACGTTTTTTTTTGTTTTGTTTATTTGTTAACTTCATTTTTTTTTTTTTGTGACATAGATGTATTAGATATAAGGTTGGATTCCTTCATTTTGCCATATTCATGTTAATGATCAGTTGAAAATTGATTAAAATACCAATCAAATAAATATATATGTCACACTAATAATCCCCCTTAATTAAAAGGGCATTTTATAAATTAGCTTAATGCCTAGTACCCATTATTCGTGTTATCACGGGCATTTGTGTTATTTCAACCAAAAGATCATAAAAGAGTAGCAAAATCGAGAGTATTACGCAATGAGCTCCAAGGGTTACGTTTATGTATTTAACTTTTGGCTAATGAAATAACACTAGGAGTTCGTTTTTTTTTAAATTAGACGGCCGGTAATTACAAGGGTCGTGAGTGCAAAACCACAGTCAAACAAACAATTATCTTTTGGCTATACATTTTAGGAATGCATGATTACAACCTTAGTAATCAGTAATAAATAGTAATTTGTTTGTTAATATAGTCAGTTCTTAATACAATAGTACTCTATATTATTAGATTTCTTGATGAAATGGTAGCACTATTTAAAATTGTTGAATAATTTTAGGTTTTTTTTTTTTTTTTTTTTTTTTTTTTTTTTTTTTTTTGTTTTGGCAGGTCATGGCCATTACCACCAACCAAAGTATACGAGAAAGGATTCTACGGTAAAACCCGGATTCTATCGGGTCGGTACGAAGCCATTGTTGCACAAACGGGTCGAACCGATGCTGGTAGCAGGGTCAAGCTTACCGGATTGTACACACGCATGTGGATCTTGTACACCATGCAGATTGGTGATGGTTAGCTTTGTTTGCTCATCAATTGAAGAGGCTGAGACTTGCCCTATGGCTTACAAATGCATGTGCAAAAACAAGTCTTATCCAGTTCCATGATTCCTTAATTAGCTTTCGATTTATCGACTTCAATTTAATTTTACACTACCTAGATAATGTTACATTTATTTTATCTTCTCTGTCACGTATATAAATCCACCTTTTGAAATTTCTGGTTGGATTGAATTTTCTGCTTTAGTTAGTTGGTTAGCCATTGCTTCTTTTCATTGATAATGGAGCAAACTAAAGAGCTTCTAGCTAGATCAAGCATTTTTTTACCATAGGTCTTTTAACAAAGAAATGTTTTATTTGTTTCAATTTGATTTTTCCTTACTAATACTGTTATTTTAAGCAACATGTGTTTAGTTTTTAAATTATTTTTAGGTGAAAGTATAATTTTCATTATAATATTACATATATCAATAAAAATTAAACTTATACTTCATGTGAGAGATTTGAACTGCATATCTCATTATCATAATTTTTACTAATGCAATATTTTTTTCAATGTATTTATCTCTCAAATATTCATGCATAAAACCCTCATGTGTTATGAAAAACTTGCACCAGACCTTGCTTTATTAGTTTTGTTGTGTAGAATTCTCTGTAATTTATTGCATGAAATCTCCTCTTCTGTTAACAATATAACTAACACCGTTTAATGAGGGAATTTCATGCAATGTTTTAGCAACACAAGGGGATTTGATGCATGTTTTCTTCAATATAAGGGGAATTATAAAAAAAAAATTTATTTATTTAAAGTTAAATCATTTTTTCAAATTAAGTCAAACCCATATTCAATTGTAATATGAAAAAGGGTTCATTTTGCACACACCCCTGAATACCAAACAGACTAGGAATAAACTCAAGCCAAAATCATCATTTGACATATCCCTAGAGCGGCGAAAGTACTATACTATCCTTATATGCAATTTTTGACCAAACTGCATTCAGCATTTCTGGTCATGCATTTAACATTTTCGTTGATTTATTTATTTATTAGTATTTTTTTTAATAAACATGTTTGTTTAATTTATACATTTTTTTAATGTTTAATTTTTTTAATTTTTTTTAAATTTTGTTTTAAATCAATATGCGTATGTACTGAAAATGACTAACTGTAGTAAACTATAGTAATTCGTAGTTATGCTATTTTTTTTACCCCATATTTTTAGTCGATCAATTATATACACACACGAATACTGGCTTATACAAAAGAAATTCATAAACCCCAACAACAAAAATTTACAAATTTCAATATTTTTATTAAAAATCACCTCACAACCAATAAAATACAAATCGAAAATATACAAATATACGCATATGTAACTACATGTTACTATATGTAACTAGTAATGTATAGTAATGTATGGGCCATTTTTTTTTTACAATATTTCGGTTTTTTTTTTGAGAATTGGGGTGATTTTGTAATTAATTACAAAAATACAATAAAGCGTCGTTTAAAACGACGCGCTTTACCGGCCGTTGGATTGAGCTGCGATTGACGGCCAGATCTCCTATCTTGTCCTCCTAATCGGACGTCCAGGGATAGATCAGAAGATCTGACGGTCGCTAAAACGCGTCATTTAAAATGACGCGCTTTGACATGTCAGATGGTCAAACGCGTCATTTAAAACTGCGCGTTTTAGCGGCCGTCCGATTCTTCTCGATCTAACGGTCGTAATTTCGGCCGAATATATATATATATATATATATATATATATATATATATATATATATATATATATATATATATATATATACA